AACAAATAAAGCTAATCCGAATTAACTGATAAGATTGTATTTTTAAAACATTTTAGAAATTCGGAAGAAAGGACCTACCTATTTTAACATGAAATTTTAAAATAGATTTATTTAGAGGCACTTATAATTTACAGCGTAATATGACAGGCATAATTTTCGAACAGTATTAGAAAGGACACGTAGATTTCGGTGTGAATCAGAAAAATATACACAATAATCATAAAAATACCAATAATTTCTAATCAAAATTAATGAATAATAACTCTGATATTAATTTTATGATTCCTAGTTCATTTGACCCAATCCATGCAATGCATGATATAGTGAAATTTTGTTTTGAATTTACTTAGTGTTCTGAAAGACGTGCGAAAAATACATTTTCATGTATTTCTAAAACAGTTAAAGGGAACGCAAGCGGCCGTTCCACGCAATAAATTACGCGACTCAACTAGTTCAGGTTTTAAAGCACTCATACAATTATTACTTCATTTTTAAGGAGGGGTTGTTTTGAAGTATCAGCCAATAAATACACAGACTTATAAAAGAAATCTTCTTAAAACAACCCTTGTTCTCACTGTCAAATCATTATTTTATAAGGACGTTTCTTCATATAAAGCACTTTTCTGTATACGCCTCTGTCATTTCAAAGTAGAGTGAGATTCTAAATCCCTCTACAATCGTTCTGACTGCTGACAAATTTCATTCACATCAGCACTGAATTAGTCAAAATACAGCGAGAATCACACCCATACTAAGGCCCATATTTTGGCTTAGACAATAAACGCCCCGATTTCCGATTTATATGGAAAACAATATGCTGATCCTTTCAACGATTTAATTGTTAACTTATAGGGCAGAATTAGCTCTATTATCATTCACTGTATTAACTTTATTCCTTACATGTGACTTATAACATACTTATTTCCTTAGGTGTTTCTTGGAGCTGCTAATTTTGAGTTCCTTAAAACCTATGTTATCATCTGGAGAAAAAATTTAAAATTAATACATACTTTAAATAAGACTTGCAAAAACTAACCGAAATTCTTAAAAATCAAACAGTTTGAAAACTCTCTGGCATCAGAACCCGAAAGTTCAACACCGCTAATCGGTCACGTTTCTGAGCTAGTTCCATTCAATTCCAGAGCTCACAATCCATTTCCTTACATCCATCGTAAATACCGCCAAAAGGCTTGCCGACCTTGCATCAACTGACCTATTACGAAACTTGGACACTGGTTGTAGG